AAGAGTGATTCTAAAAATTCTTTTAAAAGAGTATCTTTTCTTTATCAATGAAATTTGCCAATTTGTTAATGCTTAAAGATTAGAGATGTATGAATTTACACAATGAAGTATGAACCTCCGATTGGTGGTTTACTTTGCTATCAAAGGAAATTCTTTTACTATGCCATGAATCCATTGTTTTCTTTAGCTGGTTCTCTCCTCAATTAACCAGCTTATATATGCTTACAGATGATTGGTCTCACGAAGCCAACCTCTGGTACAGCATTTGTTCAAGGTCTTGACATAAGAACTCACATGGATGGAATATATACCAGCATGGGTGTATGCCCACAGCATGAGTAAGATGGAATTTCCTCCAATTTATATGTTTTTTTCAATGTGATATTATATTAAATTTATAACGATCGATAAAATTTTAAACATAATTTCTTTCAATATTTTAGCTTGCTGTGGGAATCCCTTACCGGAAGAGAGCACCTACTCTTTTATGGAAGACTTAAAAATCTCAAAGGTTCAGCCTTAACACAAGTAAGTCTATTTGAGATTACGACTGGAGAGAATGTTTTTTGACTTGAAAAATCTTGCTTTATAGTGGGAAAAAAAAAATAAAAGGTTAAATTGCATTTTTATCGTACTAAAATATTCAATCTTAAAGTTTTCAACCTTATCTTTTTTTTTTTATATCATTTTTACGAAAATAAAAATAAGAATTAAAAATATAATTTAATCTAAATATTATTAAATATTAATTATCATGTCATTTATTTTTAATATCGAATGATAATTAATGTTATAATTTTAATTGTTAATAAAAGAACATTTAAGTGTTGGACTAAAATTGTAAATTTTATAAATTTAGACTAAATTGTATAATAAAAAAGTTAGGAATTAAAAGTGTAATTTAGCTAAAATAAAATAGATTACTAGCCTGTCTTATACTGATTTGCTATTTGTGTATGGAATTTTACTCTTCAGTGACAAAAGCATTGGGCAGTTAAAACTTTGACAATTCTTATGTATTATGTTAAGATGATACAAGTGAGTGAAACACCATAAAGAGGATTGAGTTTATCAACAATAAAAGAAATTAAACATCCTGTCCATGTTATCAGACTAATTTATGCTCTTTCCCCGCTTAATTATTTATGGTATATTTTTCTGTTAAGAGGGTATAGATCTTTAGATGGCATGTGTAGATATAGATGAATCACCTTCTTCGGCATATATTTGGCTGACATGACAAGACAAGACTTGGGCAAAATTTAACTTCCAATCTAATGCTGCAGGCAGTGGAAGAATCGTTGAAAAGTGTAAACCTTTTTTATGGAGGTGTTGCTGATAAACAAGCTGGAAAATACAGTGGAGGAATGAAGAGGAGGCTTAGTGTAGCAATTTCTTTGATTGGAGATCCTAGGGTAGTTTTCTTTTCATTCAATTTGTTTCACAAAACTACTTTCATTTCTTTTCTGAAAGATTGTGATATGTTTTCTTACACCGAAAACACTATTTTCTTTTTCTCTTTTTTTTTTTTGGTAAGGTTGTTTATATGGATGAGCCAAGTACTGGATTAGACCCTGCATCGAGAAAGAACTTATGGAATGTTGTTAAGCGTGCAAAACAGGATCGTGCAATCATTCTTACCAGTAAGTACTCTCCCACTGTATGCTTTTAGAAGCACAAATTGAGCTTTTGCTTTAATTTGTCTAATGAATATGATTTAGATATATCAACTTATTTATGTTTTGGTTTTATACTAGCATGGTTGTGTTCTCTCTCTAGAAGATATAGATTAATAAATCTTTGTTTCCATACACTTTCAGCACATTCCATGGAAGAGGCAGAAGTCCTATGCGATCGATTAGGAATATTTGCAGATGGTAGCTTGCAGTGCATAGGAAATCCAAAAGAGGTAACATTGCTTAATTGATATGCTTTATCAAAAAATCATTTGCAATTGATGGGTTAATTGATGCTCCCTCCATTTCAAAACTATTGATGTTTTAGCCTTTTGATTTTGTTCCAAAATTATTAATAGTGTGTTTGAATGGAAAATTTAAATGGAGTAATTCATTTATTTGAAGAATTTTAAATTCTTTGAGGTGAAATACCTTGTTTGGATGAGAAATTTATAAGGAATTTGAAATTCAAGCATTTGTGAAATTCTTTAAAATAGTAGAATTTTAAATTCTCCCAAAAGAGTAAGAATTTGAAATTTCTTATATTTTTTTTCTTCTTATTTCACTTATATATTTTATCTTATCTCTTATCTCTTCATGTTTTTAATTGTTGAATATTTAAAAATATTTTTAAAATTATTAAATATTATCTAATATTAATTTTGAAAATTATTAAATATTTAAAAATTAGCTAATATTTATTTTTATAAAATTTAATTTAAAAATCTCAACATATAAATGAATTTGAGAAATTTGAATTGACTTATCCAAACAAAATATTTTAAAAATGATAGAAATTTAAATTAAAGTAATTCAAATATCAAGAATTTAAAATTCCTTGAATTTATAAAATTTCTCATCCAAACACACCATAATATTTTGCAAATTTGAAATCTCATTAATTATTTTTCTCCACATATACTCTTTATTTTTAATAATAATAATAATAATAATAATAATAATAATGTTCAAATTTAAGATCTTATATATACTATTTCAATTTTTTATTATTAGTCAGATTCTAGTGGTTCACTAACTTTTATTTAAAATAACAATATTTGCTCTTTAGGATGAAATATGAATGTTTCACTTGTAATCTATTTAAAAAAAGAGTTAATCATCCCTACATTACCAGTGTAAAGTTTTTTTACACTGGCAACCAATCATATATTTTAAAGTTACTTATTTTATTATTATTTCATTAAATAAGCAACTAACATGTCACTATTAAAAGATATGATTGGTTGCTAATGTAAAAAAATTTTACACGGACAGTGTATAGGTAATTAACTCTTAAAAAAAAAATTCAACAAACAACCACATTTACATTTTATATTAAAAGTGTGTTTGGATAAATAATTTAAATAGAATAATTCAATTTTTTTTAAGAATCTCAAATTTCTTGGGGTGAAATATTTTATTTAGATAGAAAATATGCAAAAAAAAAATTAAAATTCAAATATTTGTGAAATTTTTTAAAATAATAGAATTTTAAATTCTCTAAGAAAAAAGAAAGAATTTAAAATTTTTTATATTTTTTCTTTCTTATTTAACCTATATATCTTTTATCTCTTTATCTTCACTCCTATCTCTTATATTTCCTTTTGCCTCTCACTCTTTTGCATCTTCCATACTCTATTTTCTCTCTCCTTTCTCTCCCCTCTCTGTATCTCTTTCCTTTTTTTTTTCTCTCAAACTTTTATCTTTTTTCTTTCTCCTATCTCTCTTTGGTCTCTCTTATGTAACAAAAAAGATATCATTTGCAGTTGATGGGCTTAAGCCCATAGATAGCGAGCCCATCCCAAGTTTGGTCCATACGACTAATGGGCTTAAATCCATAGATAGCAAAATACAGTTTTGGCTTCTTTTTTTTTTCTTCTTTTTTTGCTGAATATCTTTCAGGTTTTTTACTTTCATTCTTCCTTATTTGTGATTGATATTCATAGAATGAAACATTAAAATCCTTACTGGTGATTTAGTATGCATTTTCAACATTTACTCTTTTTTCTGGAAAGTGACATCTATTTTATACTTGCTGTTGGTTTATCACAGTTGAAAGCCAGGTATGGAGGAACTTATGTCTTCACGATGACAACATCCATGAACCATGAAAAAGATGTAGAGAATTTGGTGCAACAGCTCTCCCCAAATGCTAACAAGATCTACCATATCTCTGGAACCCAAAAGTTCGAGCTACCAAAGGATGAGGTTAAAATAGCAAATGTATTCCAAGCTGTTGAAACTGCAAAGAGAAGCTTCACGGTTTCAGCGTGGGGTTTAGCTGATACAACATTGGAAGATGTCTTCATTAAAGTTGCACGTGGAACTCAGGCATCTGACACCTTGTCATAATTTCATACTCATACGTATTATAATTGTATTATGTACAGGTTAAATATTATAACATGTATAACTGGTGTGTATGTATATAGCCACGTTTTTTTTGGGTTAGTTTTTGTCATATTCTTTTGACACCCTTTTTTCCAAAATAAAATAAAATCTTGGCTTCTTCATTGTAAAATTAAATTATATATTTTAAACAAGATTACCATATGTTAAAAATAATTTTATATCACAATATAAATTAGTTACCATAAATTAAAATAGAATTGGTCTAAAAGTATTTATTTATTTTGATTTTTTATATAAAATAAAAATTTATCTATAATATTTCATGTATTAAAATGCTAGTTTATAAAAATGTTAAAATTATAACTCTTGCTAAAACTAATTTTTAAAATATATAGTTCTACAAGCAATTTGCAACTTCAAAAAAAGAAAGGAATCGAAGTCTCATAATGAGTGATTGAGTTGACTCAACTCTCTTTTGTAGTTGTTCTCTCCCACGGGCCAAACTTAGAAGGGTCTATAGGGGTCATACTCCCTCCCATCTACCTAATTTTTTATAAAATAAAATTTTATGAGTATTTAGTATTATAAAAATATGTTTATAATGTTATAAGTTATATGTATGATAATTAGCTTATTAAAAGTTTTTGTTTCCTACCAACTTTTGTTCTAATTATAAATAATATAAGACAAATTATGAAAATTAAGAAACATAATTAATATGATTATTTTTAACTAACTTTACTATAGATTTAAGTTTTATTCTTAACATATTTAAGTGATTATTATATTTAATGTTTGTTATAAGTAAACGCATAAGAAATAAAGTTAGTAACAAATGAAAAGTATAAAAGATTTTTAAGGTTGAGTAACTTTAAAAATTAATTATTGTTGGTTATAATTAGAGCCAAAGAAAAATCTAATTTATTACTTATAAGTATCCTCACAATTAGAAGGTTTTGGAGGATTTAGAAAAGTCAATAGGTATGTCACTCAATACTGCCAATGATTACATCCAAAATTTGAGAGCCATTAGAGAGTCGCCTATTACAAATATTTTGTGCCAAAATTTGAATTTTGTTGCTAGTTGCTAACATTAGATTAAACCTATTTCCGGAGTGCAACACATATAACTTTATTTTTGCAGATTTGAGCACTTATGACATGATAATTTGTATTTGAAATGAAAAAATGAATTTTTTTTGTAATGACATCTTATTATACATGTAACTTTTTTGTTCATGAAGTTGAGGCATCATCCCTATTGATAACAATTATTTGGGTCATTGTTATGCGTCTCCACAATATCATTTTTGAACTTGACTGTAAGAAGGTTTTTAAGCATGCACTCTAACACCTATATAAATATTTTGACTTAATGTAAAATAAAATTTAGTTTGATTCAAAACTATTCAATGAGATTTGTTCATAGACAAATCAATCAATTCTCACATACTCTAGTAAAAACGTTTAAATTTCTTGCTAATCTACATACTTTTAGTCATGTACTTGCTTATATCAATCCTATTTTGATTAATAAAATGATATAATCATCTTGTAATAAAAAAAATATTTTTTAATTTGCTACTAATAATTTTTTTATTATATTATTTAAATTTATTTATTTCTTAATTATTAATGATCTTAAATCATTTAAAGAGTATAGAGAATTTATAAACTTAGTCATTTGAAAGTGCATAAAGTACTCTTTAATCATTATCTTTATGACAATTTTACGATAATATTGTACTTTAACTTTTTTGTTTTTATAATGTCAACTTTTATAAAAATTATTTAATAATACATTATAGTTTATAATTATTCTTTCCGTTTTTTATTATAAGAATTTTTTTTACACATGTTAAAAAGTTATTTACTTATATTAAATCTTATTAATTTTATTATTCTTCTCAAATAATTTAAATATAATTTTCATTCTTATAATTTACTATTTTTTCACTTTTGATCCGTGTAATTTTTTGTTGTTGTTTTTTTCCTAACATTTTTATAAAGTTTTAAACTTAATTTTTACTATCAAATATTGTTAAAAAAATTCTACATGACAAACAAAAAAAAATAAAAATATATATTATATTTGATATTTTTTAGATCAATTTTCAAAATGCACTTTACTTTACTTCACTACATCCAAAACCTTACCCTAGTGATCGTACTTCCTCTCTTTAATCTAACTTGACTCTACAAACCTTAAACTTTCCAATCCAAATCCCAAATTTTTTTATGAAGTACATTCTCACAATCCATGATCTCAACAATGATGACGAGTTTGTTTTCAATGACCACTACTTCTACGAGGTCGCTACCTCACCATGAATGAGTTTGACCTCATGCTCGGCTACTCTCTCATTATGTAGGAGTTCATACGCCACCAAATATCCATCACTCTACTAGCACTATATATACCAATGTCGCCTCATTTAAGGTAAAAAATATTTGTGTTGATTGGCTCAAGACCGTTGGCACCTACTATGATTGTCACAATAACGATGAGTAGGACACTTCATCAAAGAAGCGAGGTCGATGATTCAACTCTTCCATTAATGACAGCTATGATGCGATGTTCCATAAGTACACTACTAGAAAAATTAAAATTAGAGAGGGAACAAATCTGTCACTAAATTTTATAAAATTTGTCACAAAATAAATTAGTGACGGAATTTGTGACGGAACTGATTTTGTCACAAAAATTAGCGTCACAAAAATTAGCGTCACAAAATATTTAGTAACGGATAATTTCAGTCCGTCACAATTAGTGACGGAATTAAGGCATCACAAATAATATATTTTTCGTCACTAATTTCTAATAATAAATGTTCATAAATTAATAAAAATTCGTCGCAATTTGTGACAACCTCTAACTCCGTCGCAATTTGTGAGAGATTAAATCCGTCGCAAATTTGTGAGGGATATATATCTTATTACACAAGTGGAGAGGGATGTGTGTCCGTCACAAATTGTGATGATGAATAAAATCCGTCACAATTTGTGATGAATAAAATCCGTCACAAATTGTGATGAATAAAATCCGTCACAATTTGCGATGAAGAAAATCCATCACAAACTGTGATGAATAAAATCTGTCACAAATTGTGATGAATGAAATCCGTCACAAATTGCGATGAATGAAATCCGTCACAAATTGCGAATTATTGATCTTATAAAGAACTTTTTTCGTAAATTTGTGAAGAATATGTTTTTCTCCTGTAATTGTGATATAATTTTTTTAATTATGAATATAACAAATAATTTATTAATTAATCCAAACAGTTGAATTTATTGTCTATTTATTTAAAAAATTAACAAAATAAATAATTAAGAAAAATTTCTCAATTCTATAAAAGCATGTAAACACGAATATAAGAAAGTCAAGCATACCATAGATACAAATAACACCAAATATAACAAAGTTTAGGACTTTAGTTGATCCCTAATGTATGATAAGTACTATAGTAAAACTTAAACATAACAAAGTATAAGTTTAAAGCATAGTAAATATTAATAATAGTAAAAGATAATGCATCCCTAAACATTTATATCATGATCATCATCTAACTCATTATCATCAGATTGTATAGTGTTAGCATCATGTGTAGGAGGAGGTTGGGGAGGACGAGAAGATTGAGAAAACATCTCCATAAATTGCTTCAGTTGCTCACGAACCAACCGAGACTCTTCCTGTGAAGCACAAATCAAATCTGCATGGCTTTGCAATTGTTCTTTCAATGTTTTGTTTTATTCAGACAAATTTGAAACAAGATTTTTCATTTGTTCATACTTAGGATTTGAGATACCATCTAAGAATGTAGAAGAAGAAGGTTTATACTTCCCAGCCTCTGAACCTAAACCAAATATTCTTTCTTTATTATTCACACCACCAACAACATCATAGAAAATACTATTTTCAGATTGCATACTAGAGGCAGCATGATCTCCCGATAATTGTTGTGACTCTTTCAGATAACCGTCTTTCATACTCATTCTATAAAAAGAAAAGTAAGAAACAAAAGTATATAAACATTAATGACAATAGAAGATCTCATGAATGTCATGAATGATGCAGAGAGTCATGCAAGAAGAACACACAAAAATACTTAGTAAAAAATCTAAGATGTAACTTATAAGCAACATCACTAGATAAGTATGAATTCCAATGAAATTAGTAACTTGTAAACCTAGATACAACACCACATACACATGAATCTCATTGAATTTAGCAATTAGTAAACTAAGATGTAGAGATGGTGACACTTCACATTGCATGAAACTAAAATTGAGTACAACCAATAAGGTGAAATGATTCTATGTTCACATAATTCACTAAAAACTTCAAATCATATAAAAAATTACATACTATAAAATGGTATGGCTTGCAATTTTGAGACCATTGACTGTAACCTATCTTAATATGTTAAGTCGACAGTGCAGGACAGAACATGACAACTTTCACAGTATCATAACCATTGTTGAAACATAACCATTATTTTCTCTCTAATATAACCATTATATGTCAAGTCTTGCAAACATAATCTTTGTTATCTCTCTAATAGAATCAATCAACTTCTTCATAATTCAATATATATAAAATTATAACTTACCGCTATCCTTTCTGCCTTGGAAGACACCCATCTATTCCCGTTCGCTAACTTATGGGTCTTTTAGAATAGGTCCCAACATGTTGGAGTCATATTTGTAGATATTTTCTGAAGGAACAAAAAGTAATCTAGTTTAATTTTAAATTTTGCTCCTTAAAAGAATAAGTAAATATTACTTACCAATCTCTTAAAATGCTCAAAAGTAGGAATGGATCCTCCGGTATGCAATGAACCATTAGAAGAATTTCTATTATTAGTATTAGTCATTGACTTTTGTTTCCAATTCTCATCATTCCATTTCTGTTCAAGTTCTACACGTTTTTGCTTTGGAATCCAACTCCCTAGATCAATGCCTCGTCGCACCCTATACATAGCATTTAAAAGCCCTTCAGATGCTTTATGGTCAAATTCTCTTCTTATTTGTGCATCATGATCAGACAGCCACTTGAACTTTCTCTACATCAAAAATTTATAAAATTTTATTTAAACAATGTGCAATTTCATGCAATGAAAAATATAAAATGGTTATTATAATATTTATAGTTCTTTAT